AGGTATTCCTCAAGAAGACCAACCTCAAGGCACATAATTGCCAGATTCACTGGGGTTGAAATGAAGGAGAAAATGCTAAGGATAGCCAGAGAGAAAGGTCAGGTTACCCACAAAGGGAAGCCTATCAGACTCACAGCAGATCTCTCAGCAGAAACCCTACAAGCCAGAAGATAGTGGGGGCCAATATTCAACATCCTTAAAGAAAAGAACTTTCAACCCAGAATTACATATCCAGCCAAACTAAGCTTCATAAGTGAAGGAAAAATAAAATCTTTTGTGAACAAGTAAGCACTCAGAGATTTCATCACCACCAGGCCTGCTTTACAAGAGATTCTGAAAGAAGCACTACACATAGAAAGGAAAAACCAGTATCAGCCTTTCCAAAAGTATACCAAAAAGTAAAGAGCATCAATATAATGAAGAATTTACATCAACTAATGGGCAAAACAGCTAGCTAATATCAGATGGCAGTATTACTCACATATATTATTATTAATCCTAAATTTAAATCGACTAAATCCCCCAATCAAAAGACACAGCCAAAACCCATCAGTATGCTGCATCCAGACCCATCTCACATTCAAGGATACACAAAGACTCAAAACAAAGGGATGGAGAAAGATTTACTAACCAAATGGAGAGCAATAAATAAATAAATAAATAAAGCAGGAGTTGCAATTCTCACCTCTGATAAAATACACTTTAAAGCAACAAAGATCAAAAGAGGCAAAGAAGGACACTACATAATGGTAAAAGGATCACTGCAACAAGAAGAGCTAATGATCCTAAATATATACGCACCCAATACAGGAACACTCAGATACATAAGACTTATAAAGAGACTTAGACTCCCACACAATAATAGTGGGACGCTTAAACATCAATATTGGACAGATCAATGAGACAGAAAATTAACAAGGATATCCAGGTCTTGAACTCAGATCTGGAACAAGTAAACTTAATAAACATTTATAGAACTCTCCACTTTAAATACACAAAATATACACTCTCATCAGTACCACATCACACCTACTTACAGGTTTAAATGAAATATTGGTTGGCTGCTTGTTTGTTATTTTCTTCCCTCATTTTTTCCTGTCTCCATTATTAAGCACAATTATTGGCATAAAAGAGATTTTCAATACCCGTTTTTAGACTGCATTCTAGCCTGGGCAATAAAGCAACACTCCTGTTCTCTCTCCCTCTTCCTTTTCCTCTTTCTTCCTCTCCTTCATTCTTTTTTAATTCTTTTTTTTCCTTCTCCCTTTCTTTTTTTTTCTCTTTCTTTAAAAAAAGAAAATCGTTTTGTTTCGCCAAATAATAGTGAGATATACCGTGTTTTATTTATCCGTTCATTCATTAATGAACATTTGTCTTGTTTTTTGCCTTTTGGCTACTATAAATAATGCCGCTATAAATATCCATGTACCAGTTTTTGTGTGGACATATGTTTCCCCTTGTCTTGGATATGTACTCAAAAGTAGAATTGCTGGGTCATATGGTGACTCTGTGTTTAATCGATTAAGTAACTTTCAGACTGTTTTCCACAGTAGCTGCACGCTTTTGCATTCCCATCAGCAGTGCATGAAGGTTCCAATTTCTCTATATCTTTGATATAGCTTGTTAGTATCTGACATTTTAATTCTAGCCATCCAAGTGGGTAGAAAGTGGTATCTAATGTGGTTTGATTTGTGTTTTCCTGTTGGTTAATGATGCTGCGTCTCTTTCCATGTGTTTATTGGCTATTTGTATATTTTCTTTGAGGAAACGTTTATTCAATTCCTTTGCACATTTTTAATTGGGCTATCTGTCTTTTATTACTGAACCATGCTTGTTATTTATATTCTCAACATAAGTCCTTTATCAAAAATATGATTTGCAATCCCCCCACCTACATTCTATGGGTTGTCTTTTCATTTTCTTGATGGTGTTCTTTGAAGCACAAATGTTCTTATTTTTAATGAAGTCCAATTTGTCGATCTTGTCTTTTGATGTCATATCTGAGAAACCATCACCTAGTCCAAAGGTAGGAAGATTTACAGCTTTTTTTTTTTAAGAGTTTTATGGTTTTAATACTTTCATTTAGGTATTTGATCATTTTGGGTTAGTTCTTATATATAGTGTGAGAAAGGGAGTGAAACTTTATCCTTTGCATGTAGACATTCAATTGTCCCAGCACCATTTATTGAAAAGACTATTTTCCCCCCATTGAATGATCTCCTCACCCTTGATGAAAATCAGTTGATCATTAATGTGAGGATTTATTTCTTGATTTTTAGTTCTCTTTGATTGTTATGTATGTGTGTCCTTAAGCCAGTTCTTTCTCCAGATTATGTGTAATTATTCTTAAACTTTATAATTTCCTCTCGATTATTCTCCAGCAAAATTCAGACTCTTATTAGTATGTTTTGATGCATTCTCCTACTTCAAAAAGAGGAAACTTCCAGAGGTTAAAACTTCTGCCCTGAATGCCTGCCCTTCTCCAAGCTTACGCTTCCTCCCCGTCAGAGTTCAGCACCAGTTTCCTCCCAGATGCTGCTGTTGACCGTCCCTGCCCCACGATGGGACAGGGTCTGCATTTCACAGCACATCTGACTGCTTTCCTGGCAGCTGGTGAGCCCTCTGTCCGCTCAGAGCCACACGTTTTTTTGTAGCTCTTTGGGTCCTTGGCCACTGTGAGGCTCCCACTCCCTAATGACAGTGGAGGAATTCAGGCTGAGAGAGGAACCCGAAGGAGCCGTGCTGGAGCCTGGCAGGGCTGAACTTGGTGGTGGCCCTCCCGACTGTTCGGCCTGTGGTCTTCGCGTGATGCCACCCCAGCTGCCCTGCTCTATGCACATTCCCTCACCCAGCATTGGCTCTTTCTCTGCCACCTTGTTTTGTGAACACAGGTTCTCTGTGTTCACTCAGATTTTATGCCCACTGAATCCTAGCTGGAAAGTTCTTGAAGCCTGAACATCCCTGTAGCATTTCAGTGGTGATCTGACAGAAGGCAGAACAGCCTGGGAGTGGCTTTCCTGTTGGGCATGGGATGGATTGAGCCCAGGTGCTGAGTGACACTCTGGTTGGGGAGACGCACTCTTTCTTGCTGTCTCAGACATTTTCAGCAGGACTAGACGTTTTGTTGGGGGTGAATTCCTGGAAGACACAGAACACAGCTCCCTGCGCACAAATTCACTCAGATGCACTGCACAGTGTGTAGGGGTGAGGGGCTCCTCAGTTTGGATGCTCCCCAGCTCACCTTCGCTCTGCGGGGGCCTGAGGCCAAGCGATGCACAGAGGCATGGAGGAAGATTCAGTAATGCATTTGGGAACAGATGAAAAGTGATGGAGGGGTCCTGCATGGTACCCCGACAAGGGAGGAGGTCTGCTGGTAGAGGCAGGTGGGCTCCACCATGTAAGACCTGGGGGTCGTGGGATATTTGCTTTACCCCAAGGGCAATGGGACCTCTTGGAAGAGTTAAAACAGGGAGTCTTGCGATCTGCCCCACCTTTAAAAAGATCACCCAGGCTGCTTTGTGGAGAGTCATTTAGAGAAAACCATGAAAATGACAGGTCGAAAAGTAAAATAATCAACTGCTTTTCAAATAGGCTTGCAGACGCTCCATTGTAAAATAAGCAATATTGGGGAGGGGTGGCCGATCTGTGATGAGCGTCCTCTCGCTGTGAGCACATCTGTCTCTCAAGGCCAGGGCGGCCTCCTCCAGGTCTCAGGGATGACTCTGAGACTTCACCAGCCTAGTTCCTCTGGTTCTCCCCACAACCCCTGCTCACCTCCAGCTATGGAAAGGTGGACATTTAAAGAATCATAGATTAAAATATTCATCATTTTATAATGTAAAATATCTCAACAATTTAAAACAATAAAAGATGAGATTTTGGGGACAAAAATAACAGAGACAGTCTGGGTTAAATTCTCCCCTCCCTCCTCCTGCTGCAGGAGGGTGGGGTTGGCTTCTAAAGTGGAGCCCAGCTGGTCTCCTTGGGATAGCTGGTGGCTTTCCCAGCCAAGAACCTCATGTAGGGAGCTGACCGAGGGCTTAGCCCCTGTGGCCCTTCCCGCCCTCGATCCCTCCCTACTCGTCTCCAGCCACTGGTGCCTGGGGCTGCACTGGGGGACACGTGGCTGATGGCCCCTCCAGACATACGGTTGGCCTAATGCCGGCACCTCCCACTCCAAACAGGGCTGGGTGGGGGAGGGGGCGCTCTGTGAAGGGGTGAGCATTGCCCACTTTGCCGCAGGACCTTCCTATTGGGGGTCAAGGAGGAATGCTGGTTCTCAGGCTCCCAAAGACACTCAGGTGGAGTCATCCCAGGTGTGGATGGGCTGGGAGATTGAGAAGGGGTCAGGGAGGAGAAAGGCGGAAGGAGACAGGGTTGTGGCTGGGTCTCTCAGAGACAGGGTTTCACCATGTTGGCCCGTTTGGTCTTCAACTCCAGACCTCAAATATCCGCCCACCTTGACCTCCCAAAGTACTGAGATTACAAGCATGAGCCACCAGCTCAGACCTTTCTCTTCCTTTCTTGTTAAAGTGCTGTGACTTCAGGAGCCAGTGGAAAGAAACCCCACAGCACTGGATTTTAGGCATTGCTCAGAAATTCTTTTGTCTAACGCAGTGGCTCGTCACACATGGAAGGCTTTTGGGTGTTTGTTTTTGGTTTTACCTCACTCTTCTCTCTCTCACAAAGATCACCCTTCACTCCTGAGCTGCAGAACTGGCCTCCCTGAGGGCCAGGAGGAAACAGAATGACATTATTTAAAGATGAGCTTGTTAACTTGTTTTCTGTCTTACTAAAGTTCTTCAGCATTGGAAATAAAGTGTTTGGGGAAAGACGGAGCAAAAAATACATGTCTGGTTCTACCACCTTGTGTTATTTCATTCCGACTGACTGGAGGCAGCTGTGAGATAACACATTCTCGAGGAATTTGAAAGGTCCAAGTCCAGCAACGGGTGTTGACTTTCAGTCGTTCCTCTCGCGTCAAACCCTTCCAGGCTGCGTCGCTGCTGGCTGTGCTCCTGCTGCTGGACGGAGGCATGTTCTCCTCGCCCTCCCCACCCCCGGCACCGTTAGAGAAAGTCTTCCAGTACATTGACCTCCATCAGGATGAATTTGTGCAGGTAGGAGAAAGAAACTACGCACAGAAATCTTGGATTATATCCTTTGGTGTTTGGGTGGGACAATGACTTGCTTGGAGATGTGGATTTTTTTGCCTAATTCCATTTAAAATGCCTGTTGGGTTAAAAACCATCAGTATTTGTGAGATGGATGGAAAAGATCCCTCCTAGCCATTCCTCCCGTCAAGGGCACTCTCTGCCCATATCCAGCGCTTGGTTTAGGGATGTCCATGCAGAGAGGACCAGCACCTCCGCTGAGCTCAAGTCTGCCCTGCTCCATGAGGTCGCCCATTCCTAATGCCACCTGACATTAATATAAGGCCTACACAGAGCTGAGGAACCCAGGAGCTCTGCAAAGTTCAACGGCAACATGGTTTGTTTTGTAGCATGTGTGCAAGAGGCACTTTATCTCCTCCATTTATTTTTTATTTTATTTTATTTATCTATTTATTTATTTATTTTGAGACAGAGTCTCACTCTGTCACCCAGGCTGGAGTGCAGTGGTGAGATCTCGGCTCACTGCAACCTCCCGGGTTCAGGTGATTCTCCTACCTCAGCCTCAGCCTCCCAAGTAGCTGGGATTACAGGCACCTGCCAACACGCCCAACTAAATTTTGTATCTTCTCAGTAGAGACAGGGTTTCGCCATGTTGGGCAGGCTGGTTTTGAACTCCCGACCTCAAGGAATCCGCCCTCCTTGGCCTCCCAAAGTGCTGACATTGTAGGCGTGAGCCACTGTGCTTGGTCCTCTTTTTTTTGTTATTATTTTTTGAGACAGGGTCTTGCTCCGTCGCCCAGGCTGGAGTGCAGTGGCACAAACACAGCTGACTGCAGCCTCGATCTCCTGTGTTCCAGTGATCCTTCTGCCTCAGACTCCCAAGTTGATAATCCTCCGCTTAATCCCTAATTCACCATACCGTGTCTGTACATATACAGGGTCCAGGGCAGGGGTAAAGTAGACGGAGGGTGAGGAGGAATGGCGAAAAGAGGGAGGCCTGGGGAACAGGAGGAGGCAGGAAGAGGAGTGGGAGAGCAGGACGAGGAGCGAGGGAGGAGCAGGAGACAGGAGGAGGAGCGGGGGAGGAGCAGGAGACAGGAGGAGGAGCGGGGGAGGAGCAGGAGACAGGAGGAGGAGCGGGGGAGCAGGGGGAGGAGGGGGAGAGCAGGGGGAGGAGCGGGAGAGTGGGAGCTGGGAGCGTGATGTAGCTGCAGACTCACCCGCTCCTCCCCACTCCCACTCTCCTAGGCTCCCTTGCCCACTCTGTGGCCATCTGGCTGCCCCCTCCATCAGCCTCCCACACATGTGCACACTGGTGTGTTGTCGCCTGTGCTCACCAGACTAGATGTTCCTTGAGGTCCCCCTGGACTTTGTACACCAAGCCCCCACCTCCTGTCTGGCGCAGGACAGGCATTCAGGAGACATTTATTGGATCAATCAACCAAATTTAGGAAAACTATCATGCAATTAGGCTAAAGGCATGAGGCTGAATGTCCAGCCTGCTGTTCCTAAATCTGACCCTCACGTAACCCTTGCTCTTACTGAAATATTAACCAGGCATCAATGCCTCTTAGATTTTTGAAAGCTGAGTGGGGTTTCCAGAATCGGTGTGTGGTGGGGATTTAATCCTTGTCTGGGCCTTTCAGCCGAAACATCTCCTCTTCCTAAGTCCCTCAAACATACCCACATCCACTGGACTTAGAGAGAAACCAGCAGACTCTGCTCTGTAAATTCCAGTTTAAAAATGTACCATACAATATTCCTTCGGGTTAAGTAGGTGCCTTTATAATAAAAATGGAAGTGCTACAACCAGGGTAGAGAGATCAAACTCAAGTCGGGAAGAGAAGTCCGAGATCAGTCATTCGGAATATGCGTCATTTTTCATAAACATGCTGACTGTCTCAGTATGAGCCACTCCGGCTCCCACACGGGCATGGTCCTTAGTCATTCAGCATCAGCAGCGCTGCCAGAGTGGCCACCAGGTGCCAGATGCCATGCTGAGTCTTTTGCACACGTTAGGGAAAACTCAGGTTAAGGGAGGTTAAGGAATACACCCAAAGTCACACAGCTATTACAGGCTGAGTTTAAGCCCGAGGTCACAGTGCCTGTGGGATCCTAGAGGTGCAGGGAGGGTCAGGCTAGAGCATCTAAATGCAGAGCATGTCAGGGGGGCCCTGCAGCCCAGTGAGGCCTCCATTTCTGGGAAGCTGGGAGCCTTGGAGAAAGCTGACAGCCGCCAGCTGCTCAGTTCTTAATAATTAGGAGCAGTGGGTGGGGACTTGCCCTTTTTTGCAGCCCTGGTGAACCCGGGGAGGGCCTGGCAGCCACCTCTCCTGCAGCCTGCCCTGCCTGATCTTCTGTATTCAACACGCATCACTGGCCTCCGGGCTCCTGATTAAACCCCAGCTCTTCTGTCTGTTACTCTTGAACGTCACAGTGCGCACTGGCACTGTCATGCGTCCTCAGGTCCTCCATCAACAGAAGAGCACTTGGGACTCGCTGTCTCCTGTGGTACCCTCACTCCTGCCCAGAGTGGATGTGGGACCCCCATGCTAATGCCCTGTTTGCTCTTCCTCCTAGATGCTGAAGGAGTGGGTGGCCATCGAGAGCGACTCTGTCCAGCCCATGCCTCACTTCAGACAAGAGCTCTTCAGAATGATGGCGGTGGCTGCAGACATGCTGCAGCGCCTGGGGGCCCATGTGGCCTCGGTGGACATGGGTTCTCAGCAGGTGCTGTGGGGCTCCCTCCCACCGAGGGAACTGACCCTTCTAGACGTCAGTCGTGCCTTCCCGGGGGTGGCAAGGGAGAGGCTCATCCTGATCCTCAACCAAAACCCCCTGTAACCCCACTTCCCAATGAAGATGAAACATTCCACCTGGTCTCAGATGAGGCCATGTAATTGCTTTCCAGTCATATCAGGACTCCAGGGGTTTGGTGGGCTTGTAGAAGCCGGTGCAGATGGCAAGTGAAGGTCGCCTTATTATGGAAAGGACCCCCTTGTATTCTTCCCTTCCTGCACACGATTCAAATCTCTCCTTTAAGAAAAGGAAATTGTCCTTTTCTTTAAATTCATATGCATCTTTCTCGAAGGGTCCATATCTAGAGCCGCATTTCTTTTTTATCAGAGCCATCTCCTAGAAGTCCACTCCATCATAAATATCTGAAATCTAAGCACCCGATGCACTTATTTTAGCTCTGAGGAGACTCAGGATCATCCAGGTTTTCCAGGATTTGTCCACCTAATTTAATCCAGTTGTCATCTGCATTCTCACTGAAGAGCACATTCAGCTAATGATGCTAACTGTCGATGTGGATCTAAAGAAGTGCTTCACCGGCCAGGCACGGTGGCTCACCTGTAATCCCAGCACTTTCGGAGGCCAAGGCGGGCAGATCTCCTGAGGTCGGGAGTTGGAGACCAGCCTGACCAACTTGGGGAAACTCTGTCTCTACTAAAAGTACAAAAATTAGCCAGGTGTGGTGGTGCACGCCGGCAGTCCCAGCTCCTTAGGAGGCTGAGGCAGGAGAATCTCTTGAACCTGGGGGGCGGAGGTTGTGGTGAGCCAAGATGGCGCCATTACACTCCAGTCTGGATGACAGAGCGAGACTCCATCTCAAAAAAACAAAACAAAACACTTTATTTTTAATGAGGTTTTATATCTTAATTAAAAGTGTCTCAGCTGGGCGCAGTATCTCACGCTTGAAATCTCAGCACTTTGAGAGGCTCAGGTGGGTGGATCACTTGAGCCTGGGAGTTTGAGACCAGCCTGGGCAACATGGCAAAACCTGTCTCTACCAAAAATACAAAAAATTAGCCAGACATGGTGGTGAGTGTCTGTAGTCTCAACTACTTGGGGGGAGGCTGAGGTGGGAGAATCACCTGAGCCTGAGGGTGCACCACTGTACTCCAGCCTGGGCAATGGGAGTGAGGCCCTGTATCCAACAGAAAAAAATAGTGTTTTATGGGACTCATTTTAGAGATGGAGAAACTGATGCTCAGAAAAATGAGGTGGGCTCTCCAAGGACCCAGGGATAGCCTGGCCGGGACTCCTAATGTCATGTCTTTGAATTTTCTGCAAGAACAACACGGCCTTTTTAAAAATGATTCCTTATCATTCTGTAGCTGCCTGATGGTCAGAGTCTTCCAATACCTCCCGTCATCCTGGCCGAACTAGGGAACGATTCCACCAAAGCCACTGTGTGCTTCTATGGCCACCTGGATGTGCAGCCTGCCGACCGGGCTGATGGGTGGCTGATGGACCCCTACATGCTGACGGAGGTGGACGGTCAGTGGGGAGCTCGGGCTGCAGGGCAGTGCTGCCGCGCATGGACGGGGGCTTGCTTGCAAGATTGAAGGGGTGAAGATGCGGCTCTGTCCCTGGGCTTCAGGTCTCTCCCTGCCATTAAAAATGCATAGGCCAGGTGCAGTGGCTCACGCTTATAATCCCAGCACTTTGGGAGGCTGAGGCAGGTGGCTTACTTGAGGTCAGGAATTCGAAACTAGCCTGGCCAACATGGCAAAACCCCATCTGTACTAAAAACACAAAAAATTAGCTAGGGATGGTCGTGGGTGCCTGTAATCCCAGCCACTTGGGAAAGTGAGGCAGGAGAATTGCTTGAACCTAGGAGGTGGAGGTTGCAGTGAGCTGGATTGCACCACTGCACTCCAGCCTGGGCAATAGAGCAAGACTCCATCTAAAAAAAAAAAAAAAAAAAAGAATACAAGAGAGGCGGCTCTCATAGTCTCCTGATTGGTTCACTGGGGCTGTTCTTCTTCATTTGTGAAAAAAAGGTATAAACCTCTGTGCCTCTGGATGGAGGTTCTTGGGTGGTGAGGAAAGTAGTTGTCTGGGTCATTTTATTTTTTAACAGTAACAAACGTAATTTGCATTTTATAAAGAAAAAAAGAAAGGTTAATAGAGATATACACATATCTTTTTTCATTCTTCTACTAACTGTAAAATCTCAAAATGAGAGGCTATGCCACATGGCATTCTGCAACAAATCCCCAATGGGTCTCTTTGGTGAACTTGGATAAAATAGCTAATTTTTATTAAGGCCAGCGGGATCTGTCTATTGCAAATTAGCTTAGCTTATCTGACTAGCTGATGACTATACTATTTGTCAGGGAAGAGATCCAAGGATGTCTTATGTACAGTCTTATTTGTACATAAAAAGTCAAACTTTGCAATTTCATAGATTTTTTATTTATATTATTATATAAAGCACCGCTAACATTATTGCCCATGAAACAACATTGGTTTTTAATTCACTTGGCAGAGAAATCCACACTTCTCTGAACATTCTTCTTCCCTTTTTAAAGGGAAACTTTACGGACGAGGAGCGACTGACAACAAAGGCCCTGTCTTGGCTTGGATCAACGCTGTGAGCGCTTTCCGAGCCCTGGAGCAGGTAGGTGGCGGCCACGTCTGGGAGAGAGGAAGGGGAGGATGGTAACTGCAACTCTCTCTGAGTTGTCTGCTGTGTCCTGAGCAAACTGCCTTCGGTCACCTACTCTCCCAGCAGTCTTTGAAGGGTGTACCACAATTGCGTCCATTTCACAGATAAGGAGAGTAAGGCTTGGGAAGGTCAGGGAACTCACCCAAAGTGGTGCAGCTAGTGGCAAGGCTGATACCTCAAGGACGGATTCCAGCCTGCACTGTTAACCACGTTAAAAGACAGGACACGGCCATAGACACAAGCCTGTGGCCAAGCTGCTATCTGATGGGACTTGTCTTTTTTTCTTTAATCTTTATTTTGTCTTGCCTTGTCTTGTTTCGTCATCCCTTTCTTCTTATCACAAAGTATGATTTGCTAGCAGAGACACACACACACATTTTTAAAATGCATCAGCTACTTTGCAAATGATCCAGATAGGAATCTCCATGACATTCTGCAGGAGTCCTTGGATCTCTTCCCTGAGAGCACAGTGGTTCTCTTCAGATGTCCAAATAAGGGCTCTGGAGTGGAGGCAGGGGTACAGATTTGAGGAGGTGGGTCCCCTCCTCCCAGCCTCCAGAGGACATTGTAGGTGGACCCAGGTTTGTGCTTCAACACAAGGATGGTTTTATCTCAAGCCACTCTTCTGCTGTCTGCTAATCAATGTGCATGGACACCGGCAGAGGATCGGCTCTAGCTGTGTAGCTTTGGGCAAATGACTTGACCTCTTCGGGCCTCGGGTTCTGTTCTGTGAAAATGTGTGCACCCCTCCAGCTCAGTCTTGGGGTCAGCTTCCATCTCCCCTGTCCTGGGCGCCGCCTCAGCCCTGTCCAAGGCTGCAAGGCTCGGAGGGCTGAGGGGCCACCCTGGCACCCTGTCCTGCAGAGCAGACCTGGGCTCCTGGGGTGTCTTTTCCTGAGGGTTATTCCATCAGGTGTCGGGTGTTTCGCTCTCAGAAGTTTATTTTCTCCTGAGACATAAGCAGATGGGAGGGGATTTCCGTATTCTGACTCCACTCCTGAATCTCATAGAAGACAGGCTCAGGAATTCAGCACAGGTGTGGGTGGGCTCCCACTGACCACTGCAGAGGCGCCTTCTTATCCGTGACGCTCGAAGCACATATGCACTGAGCTTTCCATGGGGCCTTGGTTTCTCTCTCTGCCTGCCTCTCTTTTTTCCTCCCTCCTTTCTTTCTTTCTCCCTCTCTTTCTCCCTCTCTCTCTCCTTTTAAGGAACAGCAATCTTTATAAGACTGTTCCGATCAAAAGGCCAAAATCTGTTTTACTTTTAAAATTTCGACTCTGAAAATTACATAATCACAAAGAAAACAGAAGAAATACTCACGCCCTTGGTCAAGTCAGTTCATCTCTGAGCCTCACTTTTCTCATCTGTGAAGTGGGAATGACTGTTTCTGCCTCACAGTCTTGCAGGGATTCAGTGAAGAAACATCTACATGGTGCTAGTACTCACGGTCCTTCGTGAGCGCCCCTTTCTTCTCCGTTCCTGCCTTCTTCTTCTCTTCCTGCCTTGCCTACAGAGCTCTTAGAACACATTACTTCCCTGTACTATTTTCTAGGAGGCAGAGTGAGCACCAATATCCATATTTCACAGGTAGAGCAGTGAGCTGCCAAGGGGAGGCTTGGCAGACCCGACAGCTAATGCATGCACCCTGCATGCTGAGTGCTCTGGGTTTGTATTTTATTAAACGTGACTTGCCAGAAAATTCTTAGGATTTCCATGTACTTCTCAGCAATTGTTTGCTAGTTCAGTGTTCATACAGAATCTTCAGATATTCAGATTTCAGAACTTCAGATGAGCTTCCTAAGACACACAGAAGCACAAGGGATTTGAACAAATCACTATCCCCAAATGCTCTTATCCAAATGAATGACTGATTTTCTAATTTTCTCATTTTAATGACTACATAACTTATTATTTTCTGATACATAATCCTGTGCTCATGTTGCATTTGTTAATCTGTGGTGAGTCAAGCCCACTTATTAGAACTGATTACAGTGTGCGTGCCGTGTCGTTTATCTGCATGTAAGCACTTTTAGAGTTCTACACGCATCCTAGGAAAAGGCTTTGACCTCTCCTCTTCATGTGGTTCTCAAAGATATGAAGTTATAAATTATAAAGATACAAAAAGATCAAAACCAAATGGGGAAGCAGCATGTTGTAAAAATTTTAAAGGAGCTATTCTATGCCCTAATATTAACTAGAAAAAACCTCAAGTTCCATTTTGCTGCAAGATCAAAGCTTTTGAATAAGTTAAAAGGCAGATTGAAATCATAGCTGAAAAATAACAGATACTTGAAGTAAAAATTATCCTGAGGCTTAACAATCTTTCAAAGGAAAAAGTTCTCCTTTTTCATGCTCAGAATTATGAGGGCAGAAAAGCGATTTGTAATTGCCTAACCTTTCTTAAAAAAGTCCTTTTGGGGAGAAGGAGAAAAATGCCTCCCTCTGTAGCCACACAGAGGGTATATCGAGAATTTGCTTTTCTGTAGTTGCTCCTTTCCCCAATTCGTGATCATAGCGATAAATTGGCAGACCATGTTGGAGGGCACGCACCAGGCGTTGCCTTGAATTCTCCTTTACAACCATGGTTACGCCATTGCTGAAACAGAACTGTGGGGAATGCAAATTCATACATTGAATGTAAATAATAATTTCATGTATTTATGTTATATATAAACAAATAGTGTATCTTCAAAGGTGAATGGGCAATGTATTAGTCTGTTTTCACACTGCCGATAAAGACATGCCTGAGACTGAGGGGAAAAGAGGTTTAACTGAACTTACAGTTCCTCATGGCTGGGAGGTCTCAGAATCATGGCGGGAGGAGAAAGGCACTTCTTACATGGCAGCAGCAAGAGAAAATGAGGAAGAAGCAAAAGTGGAAACTCCTGATAAGCCCATCAGATCTTGTGAGACTTATTCACTATCACAAGAATAGCATGGGAAACACTGGCCCCCATGATTCAGTTACCTCCCCCTGGGTCTCTCCTACAACATGTGGGAGATACAGTTGAAGTTGAGATTTGGTGGGGACACAACCAAAACATATCATTCCACCCCTGATGCCTCCAAATCTCATGTCCTCACATTTTAAAACCAACCTTGCCTTCCCAGCAGTCCCCCAAAGTCTTAACTCATTTCACCATTAACCCAAAAGTCCACAGTCCAAAGTCACATCTGAGACAAGGTAATTCCCTTCCACCTATGAGCCTGTAAAATCAAAAGCAAGCTAGTTACCTTCTAGATACAATGTGAGTACAGGTATTGGGTAAATACAGCCATTCCAAATAGGAGAAATTTCTCAAAACAAAGGGGTTACAGAGCGCATGCAAGTCTGAAATCCAGAGGTCAAACTTCAAAGCTCCAAAATGATCTCCTTTGACCCAAGGTCTCACATTCAGGTTACGCTGATGCTGGAGGTGGGTTCCCATTGTCTTGGGCAGCTCTGCCCCTGTGGCTTTGCAGGGCACAGCCTCCCTCCCAGCTGCTTTCATGGGCTGGCATTGAGTGTCTGCAGCTTTTCCAGGCACATGGTTCAAGCTGTCAGTGGATCTACCATTCTGAGGTCTGGAGGACTGTGACCTCTTCTCACAGCTCCACTAAGCAGCACCCCACTAAGGACTCCATATGGGGGCTCCGATGCCACATTTCCCTTTCTCACTGCCCTAGCAGAGGATCTCCATGAGGCCCTCTCCCCCTGCAGCAAACTTTTGCCTGGGCATCCAGGCATTTCCATACATCTGCTGAAATCCAGGTGGAGGTTCCCGAACCTTAATCCTTGACTTCTGTGAACCCACCGACTCAACACCACATGGAAGCTGCCAAGGCTTGGGGCTTCCATCCTCTGAAGCCACAGCCTGAGCTGTACATTGGCTCCTTTCAGCCACAGCTGGAGCAGCTGGGACATAGGGCACAAGTCCTTAGGCTGCATGCAGCACGGGGACGCTGGGCCTGGCCCATGAAATTATTTTTTCCTCCTGGGCCTCTGGGCCTGTGATGGGAGGGGCTGCCATGAAGGTCTCTGGCATGGCCTGGAGACATTTTCCTGATGGTCTTGGGGATTAACATTAGCCTCCTTGCTACTTAGGCAAATTTCTGTAGCCAGCCTGAATTTCTCCCCAGAAAATGGGTTTTTCTTTTCTATCTTTTCTATCTGAACTTTTATGTTCTGTTTCCCTTTAAAAATGGAATGCCCTTAACAGTACCCAAGTCACCTCTTGAATGCTTTGCTGCTTTGAAACTTTTTCTGCTGGATACCTTAAGTCATCTCTCTCAAGTTCAAAGTTCTACAATCTCTATGGCAGAGGTGAAACATAAGAAGAGTCACCTTCACTTTAGTTCCTAACAAGTTCCACATCTCTATCTGAGGCCACCTCAGCTTGGACCTTATTGTCCTTATTGCTATTAGCATTTTGGGCAAAGACATTCAACAAGACTCTAGGAAATTCCAAACTTTCCCACATTTTCATGTCTTCTTCTGAGCCCTTCAAACTGTTCCAATCTCTGCCTGTTACCCAGTTTAAAGTTGCTTCCACATTTTTGGGTATCTTTTCACCCATGACCCACTCTACTGGTACCAATTTACTGTATTAGTCCATTTTCATGCTGTTGATAAAGACATACCCGAGGCTGTGAAGAAAAAGAGGTTTAATTGGACTTACACTTCCACATGGCTGGGGAGGCCTCAGAATCATGGCGAGAGGCAAAAGGCACTTCTTACGTGGCAACAGCAAGAAAATATGAGGAAGAAGCGAATCCTTGAGAAACCCATTAGATCTCCTGAGACTTACTATCACAAGAATAGCACAGGAAAGACTGGCCCCCATGATTCAATCACCTCCTCCTGGTCCCTCCCACAACACGTGGGAATTCTGGGAGAGATAATTCAAGTTGAGATTTGGATGAGGACGCAGCCAAACCACATCAGGCAACTTGTGCAGTTTTTTTTCTTCTGTTGTTACTCAGGATCTTCCTGTGAATATCAAATTCATCATTGAGGGGATGGAAGAGGCCGGCTCTGTTGCCCTGGAGGAACTTATGGAAAAAGAAAAGGACCGATTCTTCTCTGGCGTGGACTACATCGTAATTTCAGATAACCTGTGGATCAGCCAAAGGAAGCCAGCAATCACCTACGGAACCCGGGGGAACAGCTACTTCACGGTGGAGGTATCCGCAGACAGCAGTGTGTGGCTGGAGGCCTGTGGGGGTGTGAATGGGAACGCCAACCCATTGTGGAATCTTGGAGAGGAAGAGAAAGCCTTCCTGAGGACAGAGGGCCTTACCTGGAACACACAGCCTTCGCGGGGTGGGGGTGGGTACAGAGGTCTTGGGTTTGGAGAGGTTATGAACCTCCCTTCACTTGGAGTGGATGTGCCTGTGTGCATCGTTCTGGAGAGGGGATTCACAGGGGTTGGTGACTCACAAAGCAAAGCTTGGAAACTCTGGCTGTGGGATCTGCAGGCAGGTATGGCAGCCCACAGGGGCGTCAGCAGACTGCCTGATCAATGCAGGGGCAACTGTGCTGTGTCCTGCTCCCAGTGTGGGACTGCTGGCAACAGTGGCAGGAGACGTAAGTACCATGGTCACGGGGAAGGGGAAGGAGCATTGGTGTTGCCCGAGGCCAGCGTCTGAATCCTGGCTTCTACCGTACCCAGTCCTCTGTGGGTGGCTTCACTTTGAGCCCTGGTTTCCCACCTTGAAAGGCGGTACAATAACTTTTCCAGCCTCCTCCCAGGATGGCTGTGTCATTACATGCAGCCTTTAGTTCAGGTTTGACGTGTAGTCAGTTTCCTTCTCCCTTTCTCTTTTTCTAGTAATGCAGACAACCGGTGATAGCATGTGAGACTTAGAAGGTCCCTCCCGGGTAAATAGCTAATTGTTTCATCACATCAATCTTTTCTCTCGTATAACAATGTGTAGGCTAATAATCCATGCTCCATCCAATCCCTAGGCAGTTGTGAGACTCATGTCAGCACAGACACAGAAGCACACACGGCTGTGCGTTTGAAAAACTGTGGGTGTCTTCTGTTTGCCAGATAGGAGGATGCTAAGTCCTAAGGCTACAGGACTGAATGAAATAGGCTCTGCTCTCAGGAAGTTTACTCCTAGTGAGATACAGGTACTAAAGACCTGTGGGGGTGACAAGGAAAACAGGAAGCAAGGACTGTCCTCTACAACGCTCTTTCAAGAAAATGGCTGTGAGAAGTGGGAGAGAGCTGGGCCAACTGCCCGAGGAGGCCTTTAGGGGGCCACAGACGGAGGGAGCAGGTAGACCTAGGAGGGAGCACTTTTGAGAACAAAGGCACTGAGGAGGTGGGAGGGGCCAGCTCCAGGCCGAGGCGAAGAAAGTAACCTCTTCTGCGAGGGCCTTGGGCAGGTAGAGAGCTCAAAATCCTGGAGTTCCTTCCCTCCTTGCCTCTGTTTTTCTTTTTTTTTTTTTTTTCTGTGTAGTAGGAAGTGAGCGTATCTGCAGAGAAGTGATGGCTTGAAGTGGTCACTATGGAACACAGGGAAGAGAAGGGACGGGACGATGACGAAGGGCCTGGCAATGTTAAGGTCTGGAGTCAACTGTCCATGCAGATTGATGGCTTTCTGCAGCATGCTCAGTGGCCGGTGATGGAGAAGGCCCCGGTGGACAGGCTGGCCCAGGGCTTGAGGTTACTCCAGAGGGCTGTGGTGGAGAAAGTAGGTAGAGCTCATCAAGGTGTTGACCACAGAGGGGCTGACATGATCAATGGCGGTATTCTGGTTGAACAGGGGAAAAGACAAGAGCAGGAGGCCAATGTGGGACATCTTGGAAGGGTCAAAGGACTGGATGTCTTGATGAGGGCCAAGAACAGGTGGTACAGCAAAGTTACCAGAGAGGAGGAGAGGAGCTGTCATCAGGGTGTGAGACAGCCAGCTCAACATTTCCAAGTGAGACCGTCCACATTCCAAAGTAATTAAGCTAGCCTCATTGCCCAGTGAACTCAAAGTCTAACGCTAAAGTGACCAAACCGAAGATTGCTCTGGTGGTACACTGAGGACGGAGCAGAACAGAGAAAGACCAGCTGGGCCAGAACGATGGGCGGGAATGAACAGAAGAATCAATTTCACAAAAGCCCAACCTCTAGAAATTGGTAATGGATTGGACATGGCATACATAGGAGAAGTCATGCTGGTAGGAAATAATTGCAGAAGAGGTTGAGTTTGGGTCTAGATCTCCTGAGTTTCAGAAACTAGAAGCATGCTCAAGTGGAATGCACTGTAAGCACCCCAGAGTTTTAGGTCTGGTGTTTAGGTAGAAGGTCAGACCTCCAGGGACGCACATTTAAGGGCATGGAGGTATTAATAGTATCCCTGCTTCACTGCATGGTCAGAGATAACCAGGTCCACACGTGTTTGTGTCTTTCCACAATTTCAGGCTTTTACTGATGCTATCTCAGTAATAAAAGCCATGGGCTCCACAGAGTTCCCAAGAAGGCAGTTCTCCTTAGAGCCTCCCATTCTCTTGGGAGTCAGAGCTGCAAGCACACAGGCTCAAGCTACTCCACAAGGCAGTCAATATTGCAAAGCATGCATCGTGGTATACCTAGCCAATATGTAAATGTTATAGACTAAACATTCCACAACAAACAAAGGAACATTTACCATGAGGAGAGAAGGAGTCGGGCACAGTGGCTTATGCCTGTAATCCCAGCACTTTGGGAGGCTAAAGGCGGGTGGATCACCTGAGGTCAGGAGTTCAAGACCAACCTGGCCAACATGGCAAAACTTCGTTTCTACTAAAAAAAAAAAAAAAAAAAAAAAAAAAAGCTGGGCACAGTGGTGTGTGCTTGTAGTCCCAGCTACTCGGAAAGTCAAGGCAGAAGAATCACTTGAAGCTGGGAGGCAAAGGTTGCAGTGAGCCGAGATTGCATCACTGCACTTCAGCCTGGGTGACAGAGTGAGACTCTTCTCAAAACAAGAAAACAAAACAAAAACAAAGAAAAGGGATAGGAAAACAGGTTAATGACCCAGTCCAGGGAGAGTGATATAGACAAAATAAATAACCTGGCCTTGCCCGAGTGGTCCAGTGATCTTGCAAGGAGGAGTCTTTGATCTGTGTAGAGCCTTTGGCGGCAGATGCTGGGTGCTTAGCAGAAGTGACAGCAGAACAGTGTCTGTCAAGTTTTGAGCTGCTGACATCCTGGTCATTTTATGACTGTAGAGTCCTCTGGTAAGAACCAACAGTGGAAGAATGCGTTTGGTTATGTCCTTGTCCAGCTGCATGCAGTCTTTATTGATCAGGCAGAACATCTAGTCCCCGTTGGCAAAGTGCCTCATGAAATGTAAGATGGAGTCTTTTTCTAAGATGGAGTCACTTATGTCAAGGGTGCTGTATACATAAACGCTATCCTGTGAGCTCTTGAAGCTTGTGTAGAGGAAGGATGACCCAAGTATTAAGCTTTAGAAGTGGAAGGAAGGAAAGATGTTATTACAGGAGATATTAATAGAATTGTCCTGCAGGCAAGAAAAGAAGAAAGAGAAGAAAGCTTCTCAGAAACCAAGGGAGGAAAGTTTTTCCAAAAAGAGGAGTGATTAACAATATGGGATGAAACCAAAAGGAAGACAGCTGTGTAAATGTCAATCATTTGGCCAAGGATTGCCTGGTCATCTTGGCTTAGAATAGGGTTGGTGGAAGAGCTCGGGAATGAGTCAGTTTCAGGGGATTCAGGAGACAGTGGGATTGAAGTAACGAACAGAGGGTAGGAACTCCAATCCACATGACTGAGAAACACGGAAAGTGAAGTCAGGTCTGGAGGTCGCCTCGCTGAGTTCTGAGGGACACAGCAGATATATCTTCCACCACATGAAATGCTTACACTAGAGGAACCAAGGCAGGACGCATATCTCTTTTCTTTTATCTACTGTACAGGTGAAATGCAGAGACCAGGATTTTCACTCAGGAACCTTTGGTGGCATCCTTCATGAACCAATGGCTGATCTGGTTGCTCTTCTTGGTAATGCCTTGTTTTGTTTCATGTTTTAAGCATCAGGGATCAACTAAAAGACAGTTCCACCTGATTCCATGTGCTTCTCCTTCTTGCTTTCTGAGCCAGCGCTGAACAAGGGTGTAGATGCTGACTGTTTCCTCCCCTGGGCTACCTGTTCCCTCCATTTATAAGTCAGTCTGCATTATTTCTTTTCATGGACTGAAACTCTTCTTCAGTTCACCTGTTTTCTTTTATTGGACATTGTGACGCATGCAGCCATACTCAAGGACAAGAGGGCAGAGACTCAAAGGATGCAAAAGACTGAGAGGTCACCCTGACTTCCTTACTGCTGCTCCAAGAATGCCAGGCTGGGTGGGGGTGTGGTATTCCAAAGCCAGCTGAGCCACAAGTTCAACTTCAATAGACTTGGCATGACTTTTTGAAGATAAATCAACAAAGGGATGATCAAAGGGGAAAGGTACTCAGTGATACACCAGGTGAGGCCCTTCACCCACTTTCTCAAGAGTGTCTTGTTTCTCACTGTAGATAAGCCCTTCTGCAGATCAGCCTATGCCTTGAGGCATGTGGGTTCTGGGTGAGGGTGACCAAGTACGTCCTTGCTCTGCCACAGACCACCTGCATGACCCTGGCAGGTTACTTGAATTCTCTAGTCTTCGGTTTCTCATTTGTAAAGGGACACAATCGCCTATTTAGCTAGTATTGTTCTGAGGGTGCCAACAGATGATGTGTGCAGAACACTTGCCACGGAGGCTGGAACGCAGCATGTCCATCAGTGAGTAATGGCTTGCACTGGCCTGACTCCAGAGATGGTGTCAAATATGACAGCACCACTTGGCTTCATTTTTCAAGGTTGCTGTGACCCTGAGTGGCACAGCAATGCTGATGAATTCCCTAATTGTCCCAGTGCTGTCCTTGATTTCTTGTGGATTGCTGGTTTGTGCAACAGGGAGTTGTGTGTTTTTTTCAGCGAGGCTGTTTGCCCAGGCTCAGTTCACCTGCAGCTGTTCTAGGCCTCAGGGCCGCCCATGGTGGGTTCCCAGGGAAGCAAAGGAAGTTTAAACTCTAGGGGCCTCACTTATAGGAGCTCCTTCCGCAGTCCTGGCTCATTATTTTATGACACTCATCATTTTATATTCATAATCCGGTGTTCTTTTTAAAAAAGAGGTTCACACATTACCTATGCTTTAGACCCTGCAAAACCTTGTTCTGCTCCACCTGGCATGCATAGCTTCTTTATGCAAACTTCACAGCATGGCCAAGGTGGGTAAATTGCTTGAGCTTAGGAATTTGGGACCAGCCTGGGCAACATGGTGAAACCCTGCCTGTACAAAAACTACAAAAATTATCCAGGTGTGATGGTGCAGGCATGTAGTCCCAAGCTACTTAAGAGGCTGAGGCAGGAGGGTCGCTTGAGCCTGGGAGGTGGATATGGCAGTGAGCTGAGGTAATTGTGCCACTGCACTGCAGCCTGGATGACAGAATGAGACCCTGTCTCAAAAAAATAAAAAGGAAAAAGAGAAGGCAAAAAATATTTAATAACGCGCCCTTTTTGGGCAGACAAATTGCCAAACAGCATTTACTCCATTGGCCTCTGTAGTCAGAGACTACTGAGGTAGAATGGGCCCAGATGGTCCGGGTCTGGGAGGATCTCCTCAAGGTCTTCAGCATCAGTTTTCGTTGTACAGCTTTCTCCTCCTTCATTCTTCCAATCCGAATCATGAAATTTATCTATATTTCTACCATCTGTCTATCCAGCCAGCCATCTATTATCTCTCTATCCATCTATCTATCATCTATCCATCCATCCATCCGTCTATCCATCTGTCTATCTATCTATCCTTCTGTGGCCTTCCAGTTTTCCTGAAATATAAGTCTTGGAAGATATTTCCCATGTCTGACAATTTAGGCAGAATACAACCAGGCATTTTCCTTTAAAGCTTTTAAATGGTTTCCAGAAGAACTCAGAAAGTATGCAACTTACAATTTCGGGGAGTGGAGGTTAATTTTCTGTTTTACCAGAATGAATCTTTTCTTCCCCAGGAAATGCATCTGAAATCTTTTGCAGCACATTTTGCTTTTCCCACAAGCATGATTGCTGCATGCATCTTTCTAGATCCCAGGGCTTCAGCCAGGCACAGGATCCAGGTCAGCCCCACAAGTGCACAGTGCTCTGCTAAGGAAGATTCAGCTCAGGCTCATGAACAAAAGTAAAAATGTGGTTTTACTTTCTTTAGTTTTTGATGCAAATCAAATAATCATTCCACAGCGGAGTAATGTGGATTGTGTCCTCTATGTGGTTTTCATATGTTTTGTACAAAAACACAAGGACATAGTGTTGAGCTTTGGTGTTTATCAGATGACAAGCAGGAATTTTGCTTGCCAACAGGCCGGGCTGTAGTGGGGCTGCCCGGACTCCCAGGGTCCCTGATGTCAAGTGAGAGTCGGTTCTGCTGTGTCCACTCCTGCAGGCTGACAAACAGACACACACACTAGACAGGGTGCAGGGAATCCACGGGCAGCCCTTGCCTTGTGCCAGCTCCTAACCCCTCTGTCTCTGCTGTGATTATGCACAGACAATAAATGCTAGTGAGCGCCAGCTCTGTGAAATGCAGATAACCTCCGCTAGGGGTACAAAGCAAAACCATGTAAGTTCCCTGTCTGAAAAGAGGCTTCCTATGCAGGGGAGGCAGGAGCCGGTAGGAGCATACTTGGTTTACAAATCGAGCTCTAACCTTCTGTGGTTCCCCTTTGCCCACATTTTCCTACTCTTTTCATTCCTCTAAAAGCCATAAAACAGAAAAGGCCATTGAACAAAAGGCATTTTTTTTGAGATGGAGTTTCACTCTGTCGCCCAGGCTGGAGCGCAGTGGTACAATCTCGACTCCCTGCAACCTCCACCTCCTGGGTTCAAGTGATTCTCCTGCCTCAGCCTCTTGAGAAGCTGAGACTACAGGTACGCACCACCACGCCCAGCGAGTTTTTGTATTGTAGTAGAGACGGGGTTCCACCATGTTGGCCAGGATGGTCTTGATCTCCTGGCCTAGTGATCCACCTGCTTTGGCCTCCCAAAGTGCTGGGATTATAGGCGTGAGTCACCATGTCCAGCTGAACCAAGGGCATTTTTGTAAGTGCCAAATATGCAATGTTATTTAAAATGTTCAAATCCAAGACAGCTACTGGGCATGCAGGATTCTGTTTCCTGTGGGCAGTTTTCAAAGGCACCCTCTGCCTTCCTTGCATGCCCCAAGACAGCAGTGGTAACTGTGGAAATGACATCACGTCATGATTGTAAGAGGAAAATGAACAGCAGGGGAGGGGACAAACTCTTAAGCATACTATTTTCATTCAAATGCTTTCAATATTAAAGAACTAGGCTACTTGGGAGGCTGAGGCAGGAGAATCGCTTGAACTGGGAGGCAGATTGCAGTGAACTGAGATGGTGCCACTGCACTCCAACCTGGGCGACAGAGTAAAACTGTCTAAAAAAAAAAAAAAGAAAGAAAAAGCCATTTCTGCCAAAATCACAGCCTAATTCGTTAAGGACATCTGGATCACCACCACCCCACAACTGGCAATGTCTGACGATACCAGCTGAAATGACTGGGAAAATGTCACCGTTTAGTTTCACACTTCCAACATGAGCCCCTGGCGCAGGTGGGCACTCTCATGTTGGGGCCTGTAGTCCTCAAATCTTTCTCTCAAAAACATCAAATGTCTTGCCAAGTTATATAAAAATTCTGACCACGAAGATTGTGCCCATCCTGTCCTAGACAACCTCCCAGGCCCACCCGTCGAGCTGCGGTCTCCTTGGCTTCCCGGGTTTGCCGGTGACCTCTGTGTTGACTCCTCCGTGCTCCTGCACAGCCCCTGCCGCTCATGAGTGCTCCTCCTGCTGACCCCCCTGCGTTTCTCTACCTGTGGCTTTCCAGCTGGGTTATGAGCACTTGTGTGTCTTTCATGCCTTGCAGCTCCATCCTTACCCAGAAGAGTGTCGGCAGAAGTTTAGGGACATACGCTCAAGGGAAGACTTCGTGATTGCATTATCAGTGGGGACTCATTGAGCTGCCTTGGAGACATTTGTGTGTCATTTACATCAGTGTACTTCCTGGCTGCGTTTTGCCTTTGATAAGTATTTTCTCTAGAGTGTGAGCAGTATTTACTGAATCTCAACCACCGCTGCTTTTATGGATATTTAGTGATGGTTTTGTCCATGTGTGTTGATCTATATAGCATACTGGCTTATATAGAGGATTTTGTGGCCATGATGGTGTCTCATGGAGTGGATCTGAAGGATATAATACTTTTAATCAAAAAGGAGTCTTTATTATAATTGTGTGTGTGTGTGTAGGGGAAGTTGAGAAGGAATGATGAAAATTTTTGGTTTCTCAGGTATGGATGTATGTAGGTGTGTGTGTGTGTGTATAATTTTTTTTGAGACATGGTCTCTTCATCATCCAGGCTGTAGTGCAGTGATGCGATCATGGCTCACTGCAGCCTCAACTTCCTGGGCTCAAGTGATCCTCCCGCCTCAGCTTCCTGAGTAGCTGGGTCTACAGTCATGTGCCACCATGCCCCACCAATTTTTGTATTTGTTGTAGAAATGGGGTCTCGCCATGTTGCCCAGGCTGGTCTGGGACTTGGGCTCAAGCGATCCGCCTGCTTTGACCCCCCAAAGTGCTGGGAATACAGATGTGAGCCACCATGCCCAGCATGTATTTTAAATGTTTTATGAAGAACAAGTATTACTTTTTTAACTCAGAATAAGATAAAACCAAAACACAAAACTTGTTTATGACATGAAAGGCATAGCTGAGAATGTGAATGTGATGCAGGTAACTCGCTCTGGCTTCATCTGTGGCAGGCCCAGGTGTTTTCAGCCTCACCTTTGACAAGGTGAACCCTGAGGCAGGGCTGACTCTGGCTGCGTGAGCCTGGTGACCAGCTCCTTTCTCTGACAGTCACTTCTTGGAGGGAGTTGCTGCCGATGGCTTTGGCCATGGGGACCCGGACAGTCGTGAGGCCTGCTGCAACCCCAAACAGTTATCCATGGTCTAGCTCCAGGACCACAATGTCGGCACACTCCTTATTTCTACCTGGCTGTGTTTTCTGTGTGTGTTTTGCAGGTAGCCTGGTAGACTCGTCTGGTCACATCCTGGTCCCTGGAATCTATGATGAAGTGGCTCCTGTTACAGAAGAGGAAATAAATACATACAAAGCCATTGATCTGGACCTAGAAGAATACCGGAATAGCAGCCAGGTGGCGAAATTTCTGTTCGATACTAAGGTATGGCCACAGATTGCTGGATAACCTGGAAGAGGCATCAGGTTTGTAGATTGCATTTGCCCACTGTCCAGATCATTGTCTGGTGTTAATCTGTGCATCTTAGAACCCGAAGCGGATGTTGATTCCTAGGCAGGTTTGACTTTCACAGAGCCACTTCCCTGTGGTCTGGATCAACCAGTCCTTTTTCTCTGGGGTCTAGGTGGCACTGGCTTCTGGCACTTAACCACAAGCAGTTACCCATTTCACAGCCCTGTTTTTCCAAAGCTGTTTATTAACCTAGATCCCATGCTGGCCTTCAGCCAGTGAGCTGGACTTCTTACCTGTTCAAAGACTGAGAAGAGTCCGAGATGATGCCAGTCCCAAGACCTCTAAGTGTTCATTTTTCCAGATAAAACCAGGAGCCTTAGGGTCTGATCTGTAAGTGAATACATGGTTGCCTCGGTGGACTAAGTAAACACAAAGCCAAAAGCATTCCTTACAGGCAAATGAGAATTGTTTTGCTTTTCTCCTCCTCCTTCTGTGGAGCTTGCTTGCCTGACAAGTGTTTGGCAGCCAGGGCTGGTTCCTGGGGAAGGGACCCAGAGGGAAAAGCAAGCTGAAAAGAGCGATGGAGTGAGTTACTACGAAGCACGCTTCTTCCCGCAGACCAGCGCGAGGATGGCCAGATGAAGAAAGAAAACTGGCCGGAACATCTGTAGCGTTCTTTGACGTCTTCTGAATAAGAAAATGCATCCCCTACATACGTTATTATTATTACATGAGTGGGGATGGAAATTTATACTTGGACCCAAATTTCTGAAAGGGCCCCTTTGTCATGGCCATACCACCCTGACCGTGCCCAATCTTATTGAAAGGGCCCCTTTGCCATTCGTTAACTGGAAACTGCAGATCTTGGGCAAAGGCGGCACTCTGGAGGAGGGAACCGCTTGGGTAGGCGAAGGCGTCTGAGGACAGCAGAGAGTTTGTGTCCTGAGGGAAAAGTCCTCCGTGTGTCAGGCGCAACTGACCAAGGTGACAGTTAACATGTCCTGAATGGTGTCTCAGAGGAACCGTGGGGTGGTAACACACGCAACCCAGATCCACTGGGTTCTAATTAGGCCTCCTTTGGATAATTGTGTTTTAATGTAGGAGGAGATTCTAATGCACCTCTGGAGGTACCCATCTCTTTCTATTCATGGGATTGAGGGCGCGTTTGATGAGCCTGGAGCTAAAACAGTCATACCTGGCCGAGTTATAGGAAAATTTTCAATCCGTCTGGTCCCTCACATGAATGTGTCCATGGTGGAAAAGCAGGTAATGAACGTTGTCATTCTGTCTAGCAGCATGGTCTCTGACTCCCGCACATCACGGCTTAGTGAGCACTGCTGCTGCTACTGTTGGAGTATCATTTTTTGCAGAACAAGAGAAGTGGAACAGATGTCAAGAAACCAGTGTTGTCCAGCGCAGTGGCTTGCACCTGTAATCCCAGCACTTTGAGAGGCCAAGGCTGGAGGATCCCTTGAGCGCAGGAGTTGAAGGCTGCAGTGAGCTATGATTGCACCACTGCACTCCAGCCTGGGTGACAGAGTGAGACACTGTCTCTTAAAAAAAAACAAACAAAAAGAACTCAATCTTTTTCCTCGAGTATATGCAATTACAGCAGCCAGACAAATAACCATTTGAAGCTAGAGTGCTAAGGAAATTTGAAAGTTCGATGGTAGATAAAAAGCAAGATTGCTTTACACATCGAGGGAGGATAGGGTAGGGAACTGCCTGTGCTTGGCCAGAAGCAGGAAGTCCCAGGCCTCAATCATCAGATTCCCATCGTGTCTGAGATGG